AACAATCTAATTTAGCATTCTTGTAGGATTATATTATTTATTTTGTTTACAACGCTAGGAATAATTTTATTTTTGATAACTCTTACCTACTTGTTTTCCAAATAACCTAGGACCTTCACATTAAGCTAAATGCCCATCCTTTATTAAAATTTTCAATTTCAGGCCAGGCATGGTGGCACATAACTACAAGCCCAGCACTCTGGAAGCTGAGGCAAGAGGGGAAGTGAAATTTCAAATGGAGCCTGGGCTACATAGTGAGTTCAAGACCAGCCTGAATTGCATAGCAAGGCCCTGTCTCAAACAACAAAACAAAATGTTAAATTTGAGACAGAGTCTTGCAAAGTCAATAAATTACTAAATTGCTCATGATGAACTGAAATTTGTATCCTGTTTCCCCAAACTCCCAGAGTTCCTGGATATATCATGAGCCAAAATATCTGGCCTTGTTATGGTTTGCATCTAGTTGTCCCCCCACAAAAAAGTTCATGTGGTTATGGGGTGGCTTCTGGAGTTTGTGATCAATTCTTAATCCAGTGCTGGGATTATGGGTGTGAGTGCCAGATCCACGATGGGGCAGATCTTCTGCATTACAATGAAGGAGGGGAGAGAGGCCAGCTAGCTGCCTTAGCTGCTGGCGCTCCCTTTCCTCTCTGCCCTGTGCCGCTCTGCCTGGGAGCCAGCTGAGTATGGACCGAAAGCTCCACTGACTGTGAGCTAAGTAAACCTTTCCTTGCTTCATTTTGGGGGGTGGGTATTTTGTCCCAGCAATGAGAAAAGTGTAACTGAGACGGTCCACATAAGACAATCCTTATTTTAATCTTAATGCATACAAAAGTACTATTTCCCCATCACAACTTTTCATTATAAAAATTTAAACTGAAATAAATTTTTAACCAAAAAATCTATATTGATAGCAAAGTGTAATTCATTACTTATATTTATCATATTGAATTTAAAATGCCTTTTATTTCACAACATTGTAATTTTTCTAAGAATGATAGGGCTCTAATATCAGGCTTTTGTTAATATTGCACATCACAAGCAAATAATGGTTGATTCTGCGGTATTATGTTTTGTATTTTAGTACAGGGTCCACAGGGTCTCACAACATAGATCGGACTCCTAGTGATCTGCCTGCCTTCAGCCTCCCGTGAGCTGGCCTTACAGGTGCACGCCACTACACCCAGTGGATTCTGAGGTATTAGAACAGTGCAAGCAAGAAACCAAATAAAACAACCAACAAAACAAAGCAAAAGGCTACGGATGTAGCTCAGTGGTTCAGTGTTTACCCAGCATGCATGAGGCCTGTCTATCCCAGCACTGAAAAAGGGGGGGGGGGAGAAGCACAAGAAAAAAGAGTAACATCAGGCTATACTCAATGTGATTACCTTTCTAATTTTTTATATATGATTGATAGAGAGACAGAGACGGACAGACAGAAACCAAAATTGCTGTATGTTCCAACAGTCAAATCTTTTTTGTGCTGTTGTTTTGTTTTCTGTTATTGGTTTTTGAGACAGCATCTTGCTATGTAGTCCAGGATGGCCTTACTATGTACTTCAGGCTGGCCTTGAACCTGTGGTGATCCTCCTGGCTCAGCCTCCTGAGTGCTGAGATTACAGGTGTGCAGCACCACACTCAGTTGACAAAACTCGCACGTTTTCCCCCCAGTGCTAAATGTGCAGGGCTATTTATTTATTCATTTATTTTTGTATTTTTAGGGAAGGGTCTACAGGGTGCTCAGGGTCTCACTACTAGATTAGACTTGTAGTGATCCACCTGTTTACAGCCTCCCAAGACCTGGGATTACTGGTGCACGCCCCCACGCCCAGTCTCATGCGGGGCCATTTAGATCCAAGAATATTTTCTGAGTCCAATAGTCATTCTCTTCATTTTTTTTTCTTTTAATGATATGGAGAAAGGGGGAAAAAAGATATAACCTTGCTAGGTGAATTTCTGTTTTCTTTTTCTTTTCTTTCTTTTGCTAGGTGAATTTCAACCAATCTTTGTTTAATTATTCTTTTCTTCCTTCCTTTGTTTTACCTTCTATTGCTCAAGTTAGCCTCACATTCATGGGCACAGGGATCCTCTCACCTCAGCCTCCCAATTTTCTGGAGGATGCACTATCACATCTGAAGGTACCAAGGACATGGACAGTTTTCCCTCACAGCCATTTCATTGCAAAGTAGCATTGACGGGTCACAGCACATGGCAGGATTCAAAACAGGAAGGGTAAGGAAGACTAGGGCAGTAGAGAAGAGAATTGAAGAGGTAGAGAAGGTACTCGATCTGGAGCTGAGGAAAAAACCCAGCTGAATTCTGGAAGACAACACACACACATAGGTTAACCCACCCAGGCAGAGTTGCTGTGGAAGCACATTCCAGGAAAATCTGAAGAGATTACTTTAATAATAAACCATGCATTCTTCAGTAAAGCCATCACGGGATTAACTACCCCTTTCCTAGGCTAAGAGCACAGTCCATTTTATTTATTTATTTTCCCTTCTCTGTCTTAGACAAGTTTTGTGTAAAGGATGACATGCAAGGACCACAGTTTCTCAAACACTGCATTGAATTGTCTTCACTTTAATTTTCTAAACATGACTTTTGGTGGTGACAGGAGAAGGCCATGGCTTACGCAGACGGCCGTCTGTGTGGGTTTTGGTGTGAGTCTGCCGAAGCGAGGATGTTCTTTCTGCTAGCTGAACAATGTACCCGTACAGGAAACAGCATTGCCTGGGCCAGAAAACGTTAAATGTATTTTACATTTTTTTTTTCTTTTTCTAAATGTGAGCAGGACGTTGAATTACTGCCAGGAGCAATATCAGCACCCTAGAGATATAAAAATACACTTCAAACCAGAATTTTCTGCTGGCAAGTCCTAGGATTCCTGTGTAAAGCAAGAAGTGTCCGTCTTAAGCTGTGTGTGCGAGTTCTCTGCTCACAAACTGTGTTCACCAGACTCCTCTTCAAACTACATCTCCTAGTAGATGAGATGGATCATTTTTTTCCGTCTGGCTTTTAAGCTGCATCCCTTCCTTTTGATGAAGTACAACAAACATAACATTTCTTGGTAAGAGTCTTTGAATTTTAAAAATATATCTGAGTAGCACCTTTTTTTTTCTGAGAGGTGTGTGTGTGTGTGTGTGTGTGTGTGTTGTAGTTGTTGTTTGTTTGTTTTGTTTTGTTTTGCCTTTTGCAGCACTGGGATGAAACCGCAGGGCCTTGTATCTTTTAGGCAAGAACTCTAACACATCTAACACAGAGCCACATCCTCAACCAACGTGTACACTTTCGAGTTGGGAAAATGCTACATATTGGGTTTAAAGGCACCCATTTCTTTGCATCACCCATTTTTTTGCCCTATTTGTCTGAAATCTGTTATCCTTTCTTTCCTATTTGGTCTTTAGAAGGGAAAGCATCTCTCTGGACTTGATTTTAAAAATAAAGTGCTATGTCCTCAGTAACGGAATTAAAATTCTCTGCCTAAATATTATACATACTTTCATTGGACTAAAATTTATATGCTTCTTGTCATTCACACGAAGTCATTTTTTTTTTTTTTTAATAATAGCAAATTGCCTCAGGGCAATATTGAAAACTGTCAGCACCACTCCGTCAACCCCTGCACACCCAGCTGTGGGCAGAGGAGTCCTGTTCAGGCACAACAGAGCCAGGGCCTGAGCTCGCTCCCCTCGACTCCTCGGCTCCCTGGCTGTTCTCAGCCTGACCTACCTGCAAGCCGGGGCTGCCACTCACATGGGCTACCCCAATTACACAGTGGCTTTGCAGCCCGGGCTGGGCATGGACCACAAACTACACTCTTGGTGTCCCATAAGGCCCATCCTAACCTTAGGTTTCCAGCGGTAAAATGCTAAACCCTTGTGCTGCTTGTTCCATCAAATCAGTATCTGCGCCCATCCAAGTCACTGTGGCATTTTCCTATTTAGTGAATTCTGTCTGGGACTCAGAAAAAAAAAAAAAAAAAAAAAAAATTAGCAAAGGAAGCCAGACATAGCTTTCGCAAGAGCAATTTCATAATATTTACAAGTGCTAGAGTTTCTAGGGATGTTTTACGATCCGGAGATTTAAGTATGAAGAAAATGTGAATTCTTGGCTTATAAATGTTCACTAAGATACACTGCCTAGGACCTTCTGTTGAGCAACGTAAATATGTCAGTATTTTAAAATGCTTCATCTCTCATATTTTACATTTTAAGAGGGGGAAAGAAACGCTGTGGAAATTACTACAGATAAAGTCATATATGTACTTATGGACGTAGATACCAAGTAATATATAATCTTCCTTCATGTAAGATATATACCACATTTTTATAGTTGACACAGACTTAACATATTTTGTTTATACTGATCTCTGGGAGAACGTTGTCTTCCGGAATATCTGAATATGCAGCATTAAATTGCCTGCTCAATCAGGGTGCTCCCGGGATGCACGCGTACATTTCCCTCCACTTTGGCTGTGTGCACATCTGAGGTGCACATCAGGCACAAAAGAGCCTGAGTGTGACAACTACACACTCAAGTCTGGAAGGAGCAGAGGGCCGCCGGCACCCACGGCCCGCCGTGCGCCCCTGCAAGCCAGCGCCATCCAGGGCAGGGTGGACGGGACGCGGCCCGGGGTCCCACCCCTTTCCTCAGATTTCCCTTTCCTGTCCTCGCGTGCACCGGCGCCCGCCCACGCCGGTCTGGAGCCCCGCGCGGGGCCTGCACCGCCCCCAGCTGGCGGCCCGCGGGGACCCAGCCCTGGGCGGCAGGAAAGAGTTAAGTTTGGGAGACGCGGCGGACACGTTGAGGGGGAGTTGCCGAGCCCGGGCAGCAAAAACATCCCGGCGCATTCCTGGGGCGTCCGCGCCGGCCAGCATCTGATTAGAACCATCTCCGCGGGAGTGGCCGGGCCGCTCCGCTCCGCTCCGCTCCGCTCGCCGCGGGTATTTAAGCGGCCGCGGGCGGGCAGTCGGGCTCCGCGGGTCATGCGCGCCGCGCCCCGGCCCTAGAGCTCGTGAGTACGCCGCGCCCCTTCGCCCCGTTTTCCTTTGGCAAACCCCCCCTTCCCATCCCCCTTCACGATCGACTTGGGTGCAGACCTCGGGCGGGCGGTGGGGAGTCTTAGGAAAGAGGCGGCGCCCCGGACCGGACCGAGCAGATTTGTGCCCCGCTTATGTGGGATGAGTCCGCGGAGCGTGTCCACCTTTGGGGTCCGACTCCTGGTGCCGTCTGTGACATGGAAGGAGCGCCGGCTTTGTGTGTGTGTGCGTGTGCAAGTGCCGTGGGGCGGCTCTGGTCGGACTCCAGGACTCCGGGGTGGCTGCTGACCGCCTAATTAACTCTTCGAAGCGTGTTTATTTTTGCCTGAGTGACAAAGGCTGGGGACCTGGTTTGTGCCTACGGGGAGCCTTTTTGCTGGTGCCTGACGAGTGTCATTAAAACGTGAACTTTGTGTTACACCAGCATTCCTAAGAAACCGTAAACCCAAGGGACTTAACCAACTTGTTTTAAATCCCAGAGGCGCTTGCTTGAGTGCTGTAGACCGGTAGGAAAGATGAAGAATTTCAGAAAAGGGGGCAAAAAGAATGGGTTAAAATCTTGGAGCCCTCATCAACATAGCGGTTTCCATAGCATAGAGCTGACTCTGTTATTTGTTTCGGCTGTCTTTCCTTCTTAATTCCTTGCGTGGAATTCAGGTCGACTGTCCCTTTCGGCAGGGAGCTGTTTGATTCCAGAGGAAAATGTAACTCGATTAAAAGCTCTCAAAGAATCTGCATGTTACCTCCACCCGGTTTCCCCCTCCACCTTCGCCTCTTTCTTTTCACTTGGGTTTGGAAGGAAGGGAGTCCTCTGTAAAAGGAGAAGAGCAGGAGCCAGCTTCCAGGCAGATGGAAAGATTTAACGATTGTGGAGGGGCAACTTCATGCATGGTAAATGTTGGTATTGCTCTATAAAATGACTTAATGAAACAATTTCTGGCCCTAATCAGGCAGAGTAGGAGAATGGGGTAGAAGAAGCTCAGATGGGACTCACACAGAAGTAATTCATGGCAAAAAGCCTCTTGATCTCTGGTAGGGGCTCTGCAGTGGCTTTGCTGGGATACGGATTTATTTCTTTCCTCTCTTTTTAAGACAGGGTCTCCTAATGTAGTTTAGGCTGGCTTCGAACTCAAAGCAGTCCTCCTGCTTCAGTGTCCCAAGTGCTGGGATTACAGGTACAGACTTGTGCCACAGGTCCTGCTGATCTCTCTTGTACTATCGAGGTTAGTTCCCCACCTTTCTGGAGAAGAAGGAAGTAGTAGAGGGTGGAGTTGAACCTCACCACTGCCACATTGTTGGGCACCACATGACCTACCCTTGAATCGGCTGCCTTGCCTTGGGCTGGGTGGCCCACCCACCCGCAGCTTCTGTCTCCCTAGGGCTAGAGAGCCTGAAGGACACTATGAGCAAGTCCATTGCCTAGGGGTTGTTTTAAGGAGTATTTGAGATTAGAGTGTGCTCTTTGAAGCAAGGCCTGTTGGGTGGAGAGCAGGGTATCTGGAAGAAGCCATGCCACATTTCTTGCAACCTGGAGGGAGTCTCTTAGCTTCGAAGGTTCAAAGGGAACCCAGTGGCCTTTTCCAATGTGTGTTTCAGTGACACATACTTCTCCCACATTCTTCATCAGTTTTTGCCAGCTGGTTTTTGCATGAAGCCACCTGGATTCTTTTAGTGGTGAATAATTGTCTCCTTCTTACTCAGACCTGTCCCTCCTTATCCAATGACTGCTCTAGGAACTAGCATAATAAGCTGCACCCTCTTACATTTTATTGTATGGCTAGAAGTAGGTGGTAGAGGAATGCATGCAAACTTGAGTACCAGCACACAAGCATTTGCTATTTTGTTAACTTTTGACAAAACACACTGGATTTTCACCTGAGGATGTAACTGAGAGAAGGAAGGCAATAACATTGTTTAAATGCATTGGCTGATTTGTGAAGAACAAAATCCATACTTTACCGTTGTAGAGACTTGGTGTTTATGTTAAACTAAAACTCTGAATTCATATGCATTGGACCCATTTGATATCTTGCTCCATAGGTTGAGTAGATGTCAGTTGTTTTGTTGGGCTGCCAACAAAACACTTTTAAGGCTCCATTGGTGGGAAGGTGGTACAGGGACCTCTGGAAGCTGTTGGCCAGCTGCTCAGGGGGATATTTATTGGCTTGCACAGCAGTGCCTCAGTTGTCTGAAAGTTGAGAGAACAGAAAAACATATGCTTTGCCCAGTGGCCCGTGGCCAGTAGGAGGCCTTGTGACGACGACGACTTGGATTGGGACATGGATTGCACTAGTGCATATTTTTATCTCTCTTCCTCTATTC